TTCTACATTCTACCTTGGTGAGTAGCATCTGAGGTCTTAAAAGCCTGTGAGCAGCCATCTAAAATACTCCACTGGTCTCACCCCTTCAGGAGCAAGGGAGAATGAAGAGAACAAGATACAAGGAAAAGATTAGTCCAAAGGACTAACGGACCACAGCTACCACGGCTTCCACCGGACTGAGTCCAGCACAGCTAGATGGTGCCCAGCTACCACCACTGACTGCTCTGACTGGGATCACAATAGAGGGTCCTAGACAGAGCTGGAAAACGATGTAGAACAGAATTTGAACTCACAAAAAAAGACCAGATTTACAGGCCTGACAGACTGGAGAAACCCCGAGAGTATGGCCCCCGGACACCCTTTTGAGAGTATGGCCCCCGGACACCCTTTTAGCTCAGTGGTGAAGCCCCTCCCAAAGTTCACCGTTCAGCCAGGGATTGGACAGCCTCATTAAACAAAACAGGACTAATTAGGCACAGCAGTCCAGGGACAAGGACTAGAAGGCAGGAGGGGACAGGAAAGCTCGTGATAGGGAACCCAAGGTTGAGAAGGGACAGTGTTGACATGTCATGGGGTTGTTAACCACTGTCATAGGGCAATATGTGTACTGTTTAATGAGAAACTATTTGTTCTGCAAACCTTCATCTAAGGTACAAAAAAAAAAAAAGAATTATCTATGTGAGATCAAACTGACAACAGCAACTCAAAAGGTTTGATGGGAAGCCTAGGGACAGTGAGTTGAAGATAATGGTGATGGAATAATTTGGAAAAGGATAGTGAGAACAGCAGCACAACTGGAAGGATGTAATCGACGTCACTGAATTGTACGCGTAGAAACTTTCAAAATGGTGTAACTTTGGCTATGTATACTTTCACCAAAAAAAGCGCCCTCAAGGTCGAGAAGGCAGAGTGTTGACATGTCGTGGGGCTGTTAACCAATGTCATAAAACAATATGTGTACTGACTGTTTAATGAGAAACTTTGTTCTGTAAACCTTCATCTAAAGTACAATAAAAAAATTAAAAAAAAAAAAGAACAGGACCTTTTTCTAGTCACCATTGAATTCATAGCACACAGCACTAGGCCTAGCACTCAAAAAAAAACATCAAATCCAGGCCTAGCATTGAAAAAAAAAAAAAAAACCAAACCCGTTGTCATCGAGTCAATTCTGATTCATAGTGACCCTACAGGACAGAGCAGAACTGCCTCATAGGGTTTCCAAGCAGTGGCTGGTGGATTCGAACCCATTCCCAAAGTTTCTCAAGAACAAGATCTTTTTCTTAATCACTGTTGAATTCATAGCACACAGCACTAGCCCTACCATTCAAGAGGCACTCAATACATCTTTACTTAAAGAGCCAAAAGTGCTGCTGCGGTGTTCAATTCAAACTTTTCACTTGGGAGCTTCCATCAATGAGCCTCTACTCTGCTCCAGGCTGAAAAGTTTAGGATCCACTGGGGAAGTCTGCTGCCACACAACTGACATAATCAATTGTAACAGCAGTGAGTCTTACAAAAAAGAAGCACTTTCACGCATTCTGAGTTACACAACCCCAGCTCACCACTTACCACTAGCTCTGATACTTTGGACAAGCAAGTTATTTAACCTCTCTGTGCCTCCTTTGCTCACCACGCCTACAGTGGGGATAACAATGGGGCTTCTGTAAAGATCAGATGGAATACGCGTGAGAAGCATTTAGAACCTGCGACACGTAACGAGGACTCACTGAATGTTAGCAGCTGCTGCTTCTCTCACTTTATCCTCTTATCAGCCCTGGGAAATAGGTATCATCCTCGTTTGGCAAATGACACTGAGAAGGCACAACTCGCCCAAAGCCAGTAGATGCGACAGCTGTCGCTCGTGGCTGGGCTCTGCCCTGATACCGCTGCCCGCGCCTCCTCATGGAGAAGATCTGAGGCTGACTCTCCCCATCACTCATCTGCCGAGCACAGGTAAGGATGCCGGTGGCTCTCTCCAACCTCTCTCAACTCAGCGGCGTCCACCACCGTGGAGGAAGGAGAATGGGGTGGTCGTCGGGGGAAGCTCTTGTACCTTCCACCCCTCCAGAGTTCCACCGCCAACCCAACCCAAGGCCACGGCTCCGGCCGGTCCGCTGCCCTCCTTCTCTCGCCATGGGACCTGGAGCAGCTGCTCCTCAGTTTCCTCATCTGTAAAATGGGGGTAATAACAGCTCCAATCTCAGGGGGCAATACCCAGGATAAGTGGGCGCCTAGCGAAGCTCCTTGTCTCAATAATCGGAAGCCACGTTACTAACATGTTTTGACAATGAGCACTTTACTGTCTGCGAGGTCGGGGGGATGGGGAAGGTGGTCTCCCGGCTCGGACTGACCTGGCACCCTCGCCCAGCTTCCCGTGCGTGTTGTAATTCACCGTCATGACCTTCACCGAGTCCTTGAACACCACACCACCCTGGCTCAGGTACTGCAGGGTGCGGCGGATGGGAAAGCGGCCCTTCATGGGCATAGTGGCGGCGGCGGCGGGTCCGGCCGGACAGCCAAAGAACTAAGACTGGAGAGAGCAGCCGCCGCCGTCGAGGCGGAACTCAAGCCGCTTTTCCTACGCGCGGCGCCCCTGCTCCTCGCGCAGACTCACGGGACACCTCCCGACGAGCGCCGCGCGCCGCGGGGCAGCCTGGGACTAGTAGTCATGGGAAAGTAGGCGCGTACACCTTCGCTTTACCCAACTCGCTGCCGTGGAGTGACTCAGCAACCGAATAAACCCACCGAACCCCTTGCTATCTGGTTGATTCTGACCCATAGCGACCCTACAGGACAGAGTAGAACTGCCCCATAGCGTTTCCAGGAGCGCCTGGTGGATTCGAACTGCTGACCTTTCGGTTGGCAGCTGAATGCTTACCCACTGGACCACCAGGATTCCATTTTTTGGTTAGCAGTCAGCATTTAAATACTGCTCCGCCAAGGCTTCTAGTGACCTACAGAACTTCGTTTTCCTGGAGCGTATGGGTTTTCACACTTTTAAATTAGTAATTTCAGCTTCCCCCTCCACCCCCTCCACACACAGGAAAATCTATTTAAACAGGCTTGAGCTCAATCAGATAATACAGTTGAAAATAAATCAAGAGACTTGAGTTCTGATACCAAGTCCACTGATAACTTGCTATTCAACCTCTAATAAGTCAATTTTCCTCTCTCAACTTCTTCAGGGTTAGAATTGCAAATTTCTATCATTAACTAAAAAATAAACTGATTTGCAAAAGAAAGAAAAAAAGGTTTGGGATTTACTCCTTAGTTCAGCCACTTAACAGCTCCTCAGTTTTCTGGTCAGCAAAATCTGGACGAAATGTATTTAAGTACTCTTATTTGTCTGAGAAAGTTTTTATTTCTTCTTCAATCTGAAGGATAATTTCACTAGGTACATAATTCTAGATTGGTGGTTTTTTTCTTCCAACACGTTAGACATTTTACTCCATTCTCTTCCTGTCTGTGTGGCTTCTGACAAGAAATCTGCTGTAATTCTTATCCGTTTCTCTATAGGTGAGTGTTTTTCCTGGGTTTTCTCCCCCCAGTATTTTCTCTTGGTCTTTGGTTTATGTAGTTTGAATATGATATACTTAGGTATAGTTTGTTTTTGTTTTTGTTTTTTTGTATTTATCCTGCTTGGTGTCTCTGACCTTCCTGGATCTGTGGTTTAGCGTCTGTCATTCATTTTGTAAAGTTCTTGGCCATTATTACTTCAAATATTTTTTTTTTACTTCTCCTTCTGGTATTTGTATTACACGTATGTTACAGCTTTTAAAATCATCCCACAGTGCTTGAATGTTCTGTTTGCCCCTGCTTTTTTTTTCCCTGCTCTTTTGCATTTTCACTTAGGGAAGTTTTATTTACGTATCTCCATGTTTACTAATTTCTTTCCTCAGTCTTGCCCTGTCTGCTGATGAGCCCATCAAAGGCATTTGTTATGGATTGAATTGTGTTCTCACAAAATACGTGTTGTAAATCTTAACCCCCTACACCTGTCAGTGTAACCCCATTTGGAAATAGGGTTTTCTTTGTTCTGTTAATGAGGCAGATCAGGCACAAAAGCAAGCAAGAACAGATGGGGAAGACAGACACCATGCCACATGAAGATTGTCAAGGAACCGAGGAACAGAAGCTGGAGAGACAAAGACTTTCCCTCAAGAGCTGACAAAAAAAAAAAAAAAAAGCCTTCCCCTAAAGCCTGTGCCCTGAGTTCAAATTTCCAGACTCCTAAACTGTGAGAAAATAAATTTTTGTTCATTAAAGCAACCCAATTATGGTATTTCCGTAACAGCAACACTAAGAAACTGAAACAGTCTAGGATACTCCACTGGTCTCATCCCTTCGGGAGCAGCGGAGAATGAAGAGAGCAGGATACAAGGAAAAGATTGGTCTGAAGGACTAATGGACCACAGCTACCACGGCCTCCACCAGACTGAGTCCAGTACAGCTAGATGGTGCCCGGCTACCACCACTGACTGCTCTGACCGGGATCACAACAGAGGGTTCTGGACAGAGCTGGAGAAGGATGTAGAACAAAATTCTAACTCACAAAATAAAGACCAGATTTACTGGCCTAAAGGAGACTGGAGAAACCCCGAGAGTATGGCCCCCAGACACCCTTTTGGCTCAGTGGTGAAGTCATCTCTGAGGTTCACCGTTCAGCCTGGAAGTGGACAGCCCCATAAAACCAAATGGGACTGATGGCGTACAGCAGTCCAGGGATGAGGGCCAGAGGGCAGAAGGGGACAGGAAAGCTGGTGATAGGGACCCCAAGGTTGGCTAAGGATAGTGTTGATGTGTTGTGAGGTTGTTAACCATTGTCATAGGGCAACATGTGTACTAACTGTTAAATGAGAAACTATTTTGTTCTGTAAGCCTTCATCTAAAGTGAGAATAGCAGCACAATTGGAAGAGCGTAGTCGATGTCACTGAACTGTGCATGTAGAAATTTTTGAAATGGTGTATCTTTGACTATGTATATTTTCACCAAAAAAAAAAAAAAAAAAAGGTTGAGAAGGGAGAGGGTTGACAGGTTGTGGGGTTGTTAACCAATGTCATAAAACAATATGTGTACTACTGTTTCATGAGAAACTATTTGTTCTGTAAGCCTTCACCTGAAGTACAATTAAAAAAAAAGAAACTGAGACAGCATTCTTCATCTCTGTTACAGTGTTTCTGATTTCTAGCATTTCCTTCTGACTCTTGGGAGTTTCCATATCTCTGCTTACATCATGCATCTGTTCTTACATGTTGTTTACTCTTTCCATCAGAGCCCTTAATGTATTCATCAGTTATTTTAAATTTCTTATTGGATAATTCTAACATCTGTACGAACGTTTGAATCTGGTACTGATGCTTGTTTTGTCTCATCAGACTGTTTTTTCTTGCCTTTCAGCACACTTGTTTTTTGTTAAAGGCCAGACGATATCACTTGTATCATCAGGTAATAGGAGTTGAGGTAAATAGATCTCTAGTGTGAGGATTTCTGTTAATCTGGCTAGGAATTGGGCTTGTTTAATGTTTGCTGTAGGTGTAGGTGCCAGAGGCTTCAGATTCCTCTAGCATCCTTGTTTGTTTCTCCCCTCTTGACTTTGGGTTTCCCTAGATATCCTCTTGGAGGGTCTGTGCCTTGCAGCTCTTTCAGCTGTAATCTACTGTTGTTATACTGGGGTCCCATTGGTGTGGTGGTAAAGTGTGGGGGAGGGAAAGCATTCTTTAATCTTATGATTAAATCTCCGTCTTTTAGTGGGCTTGTGTCTTTGGGCTGTGACTTAAGTGTTTCTTAGCATTTTCCCTATTTTAGGCAAATCTGCTGCAAAAGGCCTTTTTAGCATTTTAAAAAGCAAAGGTATGACTTGGATGACTGAGGTGTACCTGACCCAAGCCATGGTCTTTTAAATCACCCCATACACATGGAAGAGGAGGACAATGAAAAAGGAAGGCAGAAAAATAATTGATGCATACAAATTCTGGTGTTGGCAAAGAATACTGGATACACCTGACTGCCAGACAAACGAACAGATCGGTCTTAGAAGAAACATAACCACAATGCTCCTTAGAAGCAAGCATGATGAGACTTTGGCTGGCTTACTTTGGACATGTCATCAGGAGACACCAATCACTAGAAAAGGACATCATGTTTGGTAGAGGGTCAGCAAAAGCAAGGAAAACCTACAATGAGATGGACTGACACAACAGCTGCAACAATTGAACTCAGACATACCAATGATCATGAAGATGAGGCAGGAACAAACAATGTTACATTCTGTTATATATAGGGTCACCATGAATTGGAGCCTGCTCCATGGCAGCTAACAACAAATCTTCCCCTCCCCTTACCAGAACCCCGAGAGGATCCTTCTCAGCTCTTCACACTGAAAATCAAGTGGGGTGTTCCTTAAGGTAAAACTCATCAGAGTGTGGGGTTCTGTAAACTGTGGTCCCAGGAGTTCCTCACTTTCACACTCAGCCTGCATCAGTTCATCAAAATTACCATTTAAGTGCTCCTACCAGTTTATGGTTCCAGCAGCTTCTTCTCCAGGTAAGCAAATCTCAGCTGTCACTTTCTGGACTCACCTGTCTCTCCAGATTTCAGGGTGGCAGTTTGTCCTGCTATCTCAGTTCTCTGATGGAGCCAAGAAAAGGCACTGGCTTCAGTTTTTTCTTGTTAGGATCGGGGGTGATGACTTCCAAACTCTGTATGTCTGTTTTGAAACCAAAAGTGTGTTCTGAAGTACTTTCAAACTGTGCTATGCTACTGAAGTTTTAGGCAGAAGAGCTTTTGATCTTAAAGCCCACAGGAGGCACTTACTATCAATGAAACATTCCATCCCATGCTAGAAACATGAGTGTCCACATAGAAGGCAGGCTAGGGCAGCCTGGGCTTTGAGTCAGACAGACCTGGCCTGGAATCCCAGTTGTGTAACCCTAAGCAAGTTTAACTTCATCACACTCATTTCCTCATCTGTAAACTTGGGTTGCTGGGAGGATTAAATGAGATAACTCATGCATAATACTTAGCATTCTGTCTGTTCCACAGTGAGCACTAAATATTATTCTCCTCACCCAGTTTAGTAATCTACATAGGTCCTGAGGAGCTCTCAGTTTCAAAGGTCCAAGTGATGCCAGTATCAGACACTCATCCAGCAGCACTCAACCTTTCTCCACTGTCCTCTTCTGCCCCCACCTTTAAACCAACACAATGCTTGAGTGCTCCCATGTACCTGACCCAGATCAAACCTTCCTTGCTACTTAGGGAGAAGTGAGGCAGACCAGGGTTTAAATCATTCTACCACTTACTGGCTGTGTGACTCCAGCCAGACTACCTCTCTTAATCAGTTTCCTTATCTATGAGTACCTAAGTAACTACCTTACAGGCCTGCTTATAGGACAGATTTGTAATGTGTGGAAATGCAGCACAGCACAGCACATTTAATCACTGCAGAAATAACTGAGGATAAGGGCATAACTGGAGCCCACATTTATCCCCTGTTCAGAGCCCAAAGGGCCCCTGGGTGGTACAGATGGTTTGAGCTCAACTACTAACCCAAAGGTTGGTGGTTCAAACCCACCCAGTGGTACCACTGAAGAAAGCCCTAATAATCATCTTTCATTAAGATTACAGCCAAGAAAACCCTGTGGAACAGTTCTACTCTGTAACACATGGGGTCACCATGAGTTGGAATCAACTCAATGGCAACAAATTTGGTGTTTGGTTTGGTTTGGTTTTCAGAGCCCAGTGACCTTGATTTTGTCTGAATGTCTTAACCAGGCAGTTAACACAGGAGCTGGACTCTCTTCTGACACTAAGATGGTCATCGTGAAGATGGGGGCAGGGGGATGTTTTCTGGTGATTCTCACTTATAAGGCATGCACATATACACCCAACCACTAACATCTGTTATTTTATTTTTTAAAAAAGATTCCAATACAAGGCCCCAGAGTACTGCATGCAAATTAACAAGCCTCTGACAGTCATTGTTAGATGACCAGCACAATCTGCTACCACAGTCAGTGTCCGGGTAAGAGACCAGCATCTCACTTTGAGTCCTGACGCCTAACTATGCCAATGTCCAACCTACCACATGGCCCATGATGACTCAGAGGTACATTTTAGTATCTGAACAACAAAGAGACATTGAGCTGCAAGTACAATAAGTACATGTCCTTAGTGTATTAGGCAGGGAAAAATACAAACAAGGCATAAGGAGGGAAAAGCCAACTTCACTGGCTGCATGAATCCCCAAAGTCTCTTCCATATGTGATCGATGTCTAGGGAGACTTGCCAATGCCCTATCAGGAACTCGCTCATTTGCTGATGAGATGGAGCTGTTTGCCTTGAAGGACTATAGGAGGGGCGAATATTTACATGAGGTCAGAACCTGAAGTTGTGGTTACAATTCATAGGCCAACTTTTCCCTGCTGTGAACCCGTCTGTAAATCCAACTTTGTGCTTGTATGAATCCTGGGAAATGGTACAGCTGAGGGGTAGAAAATTCTAACTCTTGTTGTGACCATGTTTACAGAAGGATATAGCCGTGGAAGAATTTAAATGGAAGAATCCATGGAAGAATCCAGCCATGGAAAAATTCAATCAAATCAGAGGGATATAGTTTTAGTTCGGTTTAGTATATCCAGTGAGGTTTTTTAAAAATAGTTTTTTAAATGTTTCTTGTATGTGTGTTTCTCGATGCTCTTACTTTACCGAATGCTACCTGCAGCTGATTTTAGGGAAGGGGTATACTTAGTGAGTTAGTCTTAATTGAAATCACTAGCTAATTAAAAGAGATTTATAATCTTGTTAGAAAAGTAATTAAGATGGAAAGCAGCACTGAGCTTTTGGAACTACCAGCTTTTCGGTGCAGAGCGCCTCCTCTTCACTCAGAGAGAAAGGGTAGACTGAGAAGGGAGGGGTGTGCCAGCCAGACATGAAACCCTCCAGAATAACAGCACGAAGGGCACAGGCCTCGGAAGAATAGAGGCCCACGCCACTCGTCAGCTTGGGCTGCCTCTGGCTGCCATCTTCCCAAAACTACCCATGACAATCAGCAGCATTGGCACCTGGCTGACATTAGTAACCCATTTGTATCCTTTGTGAACAGAATCCAAATGCAAAGAAGTTGTCCATACACCCTCCACCCAACCCCTCATTCCCCCACCCCACTCCAAATACAGGACTTTTTATTCAGCCAAAAGGTCCAGGTGGTGATAAAGAAATGTGAATGGTGTGGACAAAAATACCGATTGTTTTTACACCAAGAGGTTTCAGGCAGGCCCAAGAGCAATGCGGTCTTCATCACGATGTAATGAAAAGAATTTCAGCTCTTGCACCGGTAACCAGAGAGAGTATGATCCAGAGTTAGTTAAAGGGCATAAAGTGACTAGTGGTCAGTTATTGTTCATTAATAACACGCACAACTGCAGGAACCCTACTCAGTACACTTGGATATCATGATGTCAAATGTGAGGTAAGGGTTATGTTCTTGAAAACCAAAGCACCAGAGCTAAGTTAACAATTTCCCTTTCTGCCCTTAATTAGTGAAAAGTACTGTGGTGCTCCTGGAATTGTCCTGGGTTGTGTCTCTTCAAACATTTCAGTTTGTTTAAGATCAGTAAAGTTGTGTGTCAGGGTTGTATCCTTTCACCATACTTATTCAATATGTATGCTGAGCACATAATCCGAGAAGCTGTACAATACGAAGAACTGGGCATCAGGATTGGAGGAAGACTCATTAACAACCTGCCATAAGCAGACGACACATCCTTGCTTGCTGAAAGAGAAGTTCAAAGACTACAGCCTTCAGTATGGATTACACCTCAACATAAAGAAAACAAAAATCCTAACAACTGGACCAGTAAGTAACATCATGATAAACGGAGAAAACATTGACATTGTCAAGGATTTCATTTTACTTGGATCCACAATCAACGCCCCTGGAAGCAGCAGTCAAGAAATCAGATGACGTATTGCATTGGGCAGATCTGCTGCAAAAGACCTACAAAGTGTTAAAAAAACAAAAGATGTCACTTTGAGGACTAAGGTGTGCCTGAGCCAAGCCATGGTATTTTCAATTGCCTCATATGCATGCGAAAGCTGGACAATGAATAAGGAAGACCAAAGAATTGATGTATTTGAATTATGGTGTTGGTGAAGAATATTGAATATACCATGGACTACCAGAAGAACAAAAAAATCTGTCTTGGAAGAAGTATAGCCAGAATGTTCCTTAGACGCGAGGATGGCGAGACTTTGTCTCACGTACTTTGGACATGTTATCAGGAGGGACCAGTGCCTGGAGAAGGACATCATGCTTGGTAAAGCAGAGGGTCAGCGAAAAAGAGGAAGACCCTCAATGAGAAGGACTGACACAATGGCTGCAATAATGGGCTCAAACAGCAATGACTGTGAGGATGGTACAGGACTGGGTGGTGTTTCACTCTGTTGTATATAGGGTCACTATGAGTCAGAACCTACTCGACAGCTCTAACAAATACTAAATATTGGTAAGAAAGTATCTCACCAGTGCCCCAGGTCAGGAGAGGATGAACCACAAGGGAAGAAGGCTGATCAATCTGCCCTGAAAATAATTTTTTCTTCTGACTCAGGGAAGCTGCCCATCCCCCTGACAACATTTGACAAAAGCTTTCTTATCACCAATTCCTGAACTATAGACTGGGCCCTTTAAAGAGGCCCAGATGGAGTGATTTTGCCAAAGCTCTGAGGGAGACTCCTCAGAGGAGAGACAATCAATCGTTCCCTCAGTCATTCAGTTCCATCAGAGACTCTTCCCTCAAACACTACCTCCTCTACTGACCAAAATGTTAACCACTCCTGTTTTCTAAAAAGTTCATGATCAGACTCACAATGACAACCCTTGAAGTGGGAGTTTAACTTCCTAAAAGAGACAAACAAGAACTTACACAGAGAGACAAGCAGACCCTGGTGGACATATCATCTCCATCACCCTCTTAAAAAGAGGTGCTGGGCTCTCCTTGGTCTAACCTATTCCTCTCATAGTAACACCTCCCTCTTTCCATTGCACAAGCAGGATGCACCAAGCATGACACAGGAAGCCCCCAGTGAGAGGGAACCCACAGCATAATGGGGACAGACTTCCACCAGAGCAGAACAGTTTAAAGAAATCCACCTTGGCTAAAGGAAGGCCCGATACAAGGTTGCCCTGTAATACTGCATAATGACCAAAGACCAGGCAGTAGCAAATAGACCCAAGAAGTGCATGGCAACCATTTCTACCCTGGGCCCAACAGAGCTGCATTTAGTTATATTTCAGGAGTGAAAATTGTAAAGTCCCTTCTAAAGTCCCTCCAATTAAAAAAAAAAAAAAACAGAACAACGGAAAACAAATGCTGATTTTTCCTGTTCTAGTTCCCATTATTCAACTGTAGTGGAAATACCTCAAAGTGCACAGCACAAAAGAGCAGATCCCCTCCGCTAACCTGTGGGCATTTTACTTCTCACCCTGCCTTCTTCCCCATCAACCTCACCAGCCCCCGGTCAGTCAGTGCCCCCCTTCTGCTTGGCCAGAGTGCGCTTCAGCTCCCGCAGGTTCTCTGTCAGCACCTCCACCTCATCCAGGCGGCCGCACTGCTTGGCATCAAAGATGTACGCCTTGATGTTGTCAATCTGCTGGAGGAGGAGCTCCTCCTCTATGGGCTCCTCGGCCTCCGGCCCGCTGTCACTGTCCATCTCAAAGGGATTGGTAGAGGTGTGCTCCTCAAAGGGGTTGCCAGGAACAGGAGGGCTTAGCCTCTGGGGGTGATGTTCATCTTTCTCATCGAAGGGGTTGGACACTGGGCCGTCTGGGGTAGTGAAGGGATTCCCTGCCACTGCCTCCTCCTCCTCCTCTTCCTCAAAAGGATTGTACTCTTTTGGGATCTGGGCTGAGGGGCCGAAGGAAGCCTCTGCAGCAGGAGAGCCACCAGTGCCCTCTGTGGGGCTCGAGAGATCTTCCTCATCAAAGGGGTTTAGGGCAGGCACCTCATTTTGCTGTGACATGGTGCTCTGGGGGAAGAACTCCTGGCTGAGGGCTGGGGGCCCAGACCACACTCTGATGGGTTCTCCAGCTGAGCTGGGTGAAAGGGTCTTGGGAACCGTGCTGCTTTGAACTGGGGGAGAGCCTGGGTCCGGAGCATAAGCAAGGTGGGTGCGAGGCTCTCTGCCAGGCTCCAGCTGAAAAGGCCTGACTTCTTGGAAGTCCAGGGACCGTGTCCGTGTGTGCAGGGACGTTGCCTGGAACTGCTCCCTTTCTCGTTCCCACTCCCGTTCCTGGAGCATCTGCAGCTGTTCCCGTTGCAGGTCCTCCTCCTCTGCCTGCCTCCGGGACAGCTCAATGGCTTTCTCTGTCTGCTGCTGGTCATACTCGTCCTGCAGTTGTCGCAGGTTCTCCTGCAGCGTGCGCATTTCATCTGTCCGGCCAGCAGCCTTGGCCTGCCTGATGAACGATGTGATGTTGTGGATCTGCTGGAGAAGGGGGTCTGAGTCTTCACTGTGGCCCTGGCCTCCGGAAAGCGGGAGCCAGCCCTCAGCCTTCCGCAAGGGGGCAGGGCCCCTGCGAAAAGAAGCCACCTCCCCATTGGTAGCACGAGACGCCAGGTCACTCTGCCTTTCTGTCAACCTTCGCTGGGATTCCAGGGCAGCCTGGGGAGAAGAAACACAGACACAGTCCAATAGCAGGTGCTACCATCAGAGGTCCCTTCTATCCTGTGCCAGCAAGACACCGATTTTCCACCTCAGGGCAAACACAACCAGCTGCTACAACCAAATCATGCTTTTTTCAGGGGCGAGAGGAGTGGCATACTCTAATTTTCAAAAATAAAATAAAACAAATCACAGTAAGCTAAAGGATGAGATTCACTGGCCATCTACTTTTCTCAAACTTCTGAGGTCTGCTACAACTCATCTACACTAGAGTCTCAAACAATATTAAGTATGCATATTATTTTCTGTTTAATATTGCATATTCTAAGGTGTTCTACAAAGAACCCCCACAGCTATATCCTCTGCAGCCTGCATCAGAGGGAGAAGTGCCAATCTGGGCAGGAGAGAATCAGCAGAACCTGTGGAAGAAAAACAAACACACATTCTGGTTTTTGTAGACCAGAATGAGGCCAGAATAGATGAAAAATCCAAGCTAGACAGTGGGAGAGGTTCTGCTTTCCTGCAGCCTCATAGGACCTTCTGGGCCCTGAGGAGGCCTGTGCTCCAGAAGCCTGAGGAGGAAGCCAGAGCCAAGATCACCTTACTCACTTGTCTCTCCAGGATCATCTTCTTCTCCATTTCCTGCTTCCTTTTCTTTTTCAGTTCCTCAAATTGTTCTTTGGTTGGCAGTGACATCAAGCCAAGCAACTTTTCCTGTAGGAAGTCACAGACAATTTTACACTTAAACCCTTTTGGGAAAAAAAATCAACCACAAGCCCTGTGATGAGTCTGTGTCAGCTAAGCACTACACCCTCAGAGAGTCATGTTAATTGATGGCTGCAGGAAAGGGCCTAACCCTTAAATCAGGCCAGAGAGTCAACTTCCAAACTATTCTGCCTTTTCCTTATGAAATGACCAGCATCAGACATCCCAGTTACTTACCTGTTCAAATGTCACCTTCTTGATAAGGCTTTTTCCCTGACAATCTATGGCAATTTGTAAACCTCCATCCCAGCCCTCCCCATCACCCTGTCTCCACAGCACTTTCCACTATCTTACATACTATGCATTTTAGTTGTTTATTGTCTACCCCCTCTTTAGAATATAAGTTTTACAAGAACAGAAATGTTTGTCTTTTTTGTTCCCTGTAGGGCACTCAGCACCTAGAACATTGCCTGGCACATGTAGGCACTCAAATGATTGCTGAATGTAATCACTACTCAAAGGGAGAAAGTGCCTCATTCTCTGCCATACAGTGTTAGGAAACTAGACCAACAGGACTCTAACTATTAGAACTCTTTGTCAGGGAGCCCCGGAGGTGGTTATCTGTGGTTCTGCCAGAAGGAGCATTCAGAGGTAGAAAGATACAACTCAGACCTAACCACCTAGGTTTAACCTGCCTCTGAACCATCGGCCGTTTCCTCCTAACCAGTGCCCTAGGAAGAGTCCCTTAGGAGCTTGTCCCCAGGAAGAAATGCTATGCACAAGTATGCCCAGCATGGCAATGCTTATAATAGCAAAATGAGAATCTATCAAATGCCCAACTAAAGAAGGATGGATAAATAAAGGATGGCAAACACAGTCAAAGCAGTATCCTGTAGCCATTCAAGCAACAGTGATCACGATATAAAACTTAAGGAAACAAGAGGAGACACAAATTTGTAATTATGCACTAATTATAACTGTTGTTGTTGCTGTTAGGTGCCGTCGAGTCAGTTCCGACTCACAGTGACTCTTTGTACAACAGAACAAAACACTGCCTGGTCCTGCGCCATCCTCACAATTGTTGCATGTTTGAGCCCACTGTTGTGGCCCACTGTGTCAATCCATCTCAGTGAGGGTCTTCTTCTTTTTGGCTGACCCTCTACTTTACCAAGCATGATACCCTTCTCCAGGAACTGGTTTTTCCTGATAACATGTCCAAAGTACGTGAGATGAAGTCTCACCATCCTTGCTTCTGAGGAGCATTCTGGCTGTACTTCTTCCAAGACAGATTTTTTTGTCCTTATGGCAGTTGATGGTATATTCAATATTCTTTGCCAATACCATAATACAATACATCAAGTCTTCTTCAGTCTTCCTTATTCATTTTCCAGCATTCATATGCATATGAGGTGACTAAAAATACCACAGGGTTATGGATTGAATTGTGTCCCCCCAAAATGTGCACCAACTTAGCTAGGCCATGATTCCCAGTATTGTGTGGTTATCCACTATTTTGTGATGTCATGTGATTATCCTACATGTTATAAATCCTAACCTCTATGATGTTAATGAGGCAGGATTAGAGGCAGTTATGTTAATGAGGCAGGACACAATTTACAGGATTAGGTTGTATCCTGAGTCAATGTCTTGAGATACAAGACAGAAAAGCAAGCAGAGAGGAGAGGGACCTCATGCCACCAAGAAACAAGTGCAAGGAGCAGAGTGCGTCCTTTGGACTCGAGGTCCCTGAGCTGAGAAGCAACTAGACCAGGGGAAGAATGATGACAAGGACCTTCCCCCAAAACTGACAGAGAAAGCATTCCACTAGAGCTGGCGCCCTGAATTTGGACTTCTAGCCACCTAAACTGTGAAAGAATAAATTTCTACCTGTTAAAGCCATCCACTTGTGGTATTTCTGCTATGACAGCACTAGATAACTAAGACACATGGCTTGGGTCAGGTGCACCTTAGTCCTCAAAGTGACAGCTTTGCTTTTTAACACTTTAACTTATATGAAAAATGCACATGGGAAAAATAGAATATACCAAAATAATGAGTGACTGTATTGGGATTTGGGATTAAAAGTAGTTTTACTTTTCTCTGAAATCCAGATTTTTCTCTAAATGTGGCATAATGCATTTATAATCTTAAAACATAATAAATGTATAAATAAAACATCAGCCATTAGCATGGATTCTGCTTTCTGAGAGGTAAAGGCATAGGATGCGCCAAGTGTGATGTTTATGTCACCACAAGATAGCTTACCTGTACAAAAAGTGTAGCTGAGTATCTGACCATCCGCTGCAGCCGCAAAGTGTTTGGATGTGGTGGAGGGTCCTGGTTCAAGCCTAAGGTTAAGATCTTCTTACTGAAATGGAACAAACGCATCAATGTAAGGGGCGCTATCAGCCTCAGAAACAAGGGTGAAAAGTCCCTGGAGGTGCCAGGTTTTCACAGGGAGCTGAGAAGATTTGTGGAGGAGATGGGTTAGTGACTCCACTTAAGTTTTTCCTTGAGGACAAGGCCTATTTCTTACCCTATGGCTGTACACAAGGGCCCTAATAGCACAGGGTGCATGACAAACACTTGGTCATCGAGGGACTGACCACCCGGGCAGGACCAACTTTGTGAGCATGTGACCTGTACAGCTGCACAGGGTCCAGCAGTTACAAGGGACTGTGTTTGGTTTAATGCTCAGCTGTCACTGTCTTAAAATTATTGATTTTTGAACAAGGGCCCTACATTTTCGTTTTGCCCCATGCCCTGCAAATTATGTAGCATGGATGGAGAAAGATTCCTCATCTCAGTTCCCCTTCTCAGTCACTGCACTTCATACACCTCAAAGGGCTGGCTGAACCCTGACAGCCAGTCCCACAGTTAAAGAGCCACTGCAGACTTGAAGAAAGAACACAGAACAGAGCCTGGGTTTCTACCCTGATGCCAACACTTTTGCTAGATGTGGTACCTTTTATCGCCTATAAAATGGGGGATATTTATCCCATTTACCCCAATTACCTCACAGGGTAATTTTGGCAGAATAAACGGGCTACTCTATGAGGAAATATCCAGGGATGGGCACACAGTTGGCGTCAATACATAGCTCTTATTCCTTTAAAAGTACCAAACATTAGAAATCCTTAACTAAAAGTTACTGCGATGTATCGAGTGCCAGAGCTGTCACCTTCCTCAGCCTCTCCCTCACACGTTTCCACTGTGCCCAAGCCCCTGGGTAAGCCCAAGCCTGCTAGCAGTCAACCACTTCATTAAAACACAGCACCTTCTCCACTCAAACCAGCAGATGGGACAGGTCATACCTTAAAGCGTCTATTAGCTCATATGCTTTCTGCACTTGCACGCGAAGGTCATTGGCATGTTCCAGACTGTAGGTTGTCTCCCCAGCACTGAGGAGAAATCACAGAGACACCTGATCTAAATTTCATCCCGCTGATGGAAGAACATAGTGTAGAAGGGCTCTAAAGGTTTAAGGCCTCACAAAGGCAGACACAGTTAATTTTCTCCAGGTGGCATCTTGTACATAACGCAGGGCTCATTCCTCTTCAAATTATAAGTGCTAATTAACTGGAAGCTGCTTTCCAGTCTGCAGGCATCAGAGGGACATACTCATTCCTAGGACTCTGTGGACTAGCTCTTATGCTCATCGCTAAAATAGATCTGACTGAATCTACTTCGGAGACCTGCTGGCACAGTGGTTAAGAGCTCAGCTGTTAACCAAAAGGTCAGCAGTTCGAATCTACCAGCTGCTCCTTGGAAACCCTATGGGGCAGTTCTACTCTGTTCTATAGGGTCCCTATGAGTCAGAAAGGACTAGACAGCAACGGGTTTTGGAATCTACTTCAACCTACTTTCCCTAAGCAATTTTACTGTGTCCAATAAAATATATGAAGTGGTTTACTAAATGAGTTGACTACACTAGACTAGAAAACCACTTGGCTTTTCTCACTCAAACGTTACTCAGAAAGAAAAGGGACAATGCGAGCGCTAACCAAGGAATCCTGCTACAAGCAGCCTCCTGCAGGGCATCATGTTGACTGATCCCTACGTGAGAAAAGCACTTTGACTTCACATCGAGAAAGGAGAGAATGACTCTGCCTAGTGTGGGCGAGTATCAGGGAAGGCCCAGTAAACCAGTTTCTGTTGATTCCAACTCATGGCGACACCATGTGTCAGAGTAGAACTTGCTCCATAAGGTTTTCAAATAGCTGTGATCTTTTGAAGTAGACTGGCAGGCCTTTCTTTTAAGTTGTCTCTGGGTAGATTCAAACCACCAACCTTTCAGTTAGCAGCCAAGCAGTTAACCGTTGGTGCCACCCAGGGACTCCTCAGGGAAGGCCAGAGGTGGCTTCACTCAAGTCTCAGAGGAACAACAGGACTTGGCATGTGATAATTATTCATTTATAAGCTGGCCACCCCCACGAGACTGCTAAATTCTGAGGGCAGTGATTACGGCTTTTCATCTGCATATTCTCAGTAACTACCAATATGGACCAAGCTTAATCAGTGTCTACTGAGAGGAAACAGAATTCAGAAGATCTCTCCACTGTTATTCCAGTCTTAGAAACGGCCAGTCAACTCCCTATCTGAGGCAGCAGCAAGTCAGCAGAAAGGGTTGCTGGGTTTATCCATTTTACTATCTATAAAATAGCACTAAAAACTCATTGCCGTCGAGTTGATTCCAATCATAGCAACCCTATAGGGCAGAGCAGAACTGCCCCATAGGGTTTCCAAGGCTGTAAATCTTTTACAGAAGCAGACTGCCATATCTTTCTCCCGTGGAGCAGCTGGTGGGTTTGAACTGCTGACCTTTCAGTTAGCAGCTGAGCACTTTAACCCTATGCCACCAGGGCTCCTTATAAAATAGTCCTAGCTGGAAAAATATTGGTATGTACTGCAATCTGAGGCTCTAGTAAGGCTGTTTCATCATCTCTGACTTTGAAGTTTACAAAAAGAACAGCAGATTGGAAATAAGAAGACCTGAGATTTGTCTTGATATCTCCAACTCATCTGGAAAATGACAAAGTTGGCACAAATCTGAAATTACGTCCTCTGGTCTCAATCACATCAACCAGTTTTATTTCTCTCAGATGTGCCTATCACATCTGGAGTTATCTTGTTCATTCTTTGTTCACTTGATTATGGTCTGTCCTCCCTCTAAAATGTCAGCTCCATGAGACTAGACACTATCTGCATCCTTCATTGCTGCATCCCCAGCACCTAGAATAGTGCCTGGCATGTAACTGGCATTCGATAAATACTTGAATGAATGAATGTGTGAATGAAGGGCTTAAAGCAGGGCTCAAACCAGTTTGTTCCAGTTCGAACCCCTGCTGAGAATTTGCATTTCCACCCCCAGATATACTGAATCAGAGTCTACATTTTAACAAGATCCCCAGGTGATTCTTAGGTATAAGTTTTGAGAACCACTGCTCTATTAGTGGTTCTCAGAATTGGTCCTTAAACAGCAGCATTACCATCGCCTGTGAACTTGTTAGAAATGCAAATTCTCAGCCAGCTGGGGTTCAAACCAGAAGGAACCTGTTCAAAGCCCTGGCTTAAAGCTCTTCAGAACTGGTCTTTAAAGAAGGAGTAGAGGTAATAGTAGCTCCCCAGCTGGTCAGGGAAGCCCATTAACCCACAATGGATCTGAGGCACAAAGCAGAAAAACAGCAGGACTCAGAGACAGAAGCCCCCTTGGATAACAATGTCAGAAGGAAAACACTGAGTTGTAGCTCAAATGACCAAGAATGCACCTTTCCTTGCTGCTGTCCAGGTAGACAGGAGGTCCTGCCCTAACTTCAAACCAATGGGGGGAGGGGCGCTGATTCCAGTGAGTTTCAGGGAGGAAATGCTCAGGAGCTTGAGATAGGTGCTCCACCAAGGATTCTCAAGTTAGGGAAGGTATATATCAGAATCACTGGGTGCTTCTTCCAAACTACTCACAGGGAGGGCAGCGTGTTCCAATGATTGAAATGATACTGCACGTGAACCGTAGTTAGCCAAGAAAATGTGTCCTTTTCTTGCTGTGTTAGAACACGCGCTCTAGACTGAGGAATAGACAGAGGAAGGCTGGGGTCTAGGAGGTGCACATGCAGGCGGAGGAGGGGTCTAGGACAATGGTGGCCGAGCGCGGATCAAGATAGGGATTTTCCTACTCTTCTGTTCTCTGCTCCTGGGTGCTGCAGACATCTAGTTGCTAGGATTAGGGGAAGTGAGGACTGGGGGCTGGTGGCCCTACAATGATTGCCTGGCCTTCTATTTCCTTTCTACCTCTTCTCCCCTTCCTGTTGGTTGGGAGATGTTGGCGGAAGGGAGTAGAGGATGGAAGAAGGGCCTTAAGGCACTGCAGAGTCAGAGAAATGCAGGGGAAGGGGAGTTCTTCCACAAACCAACTGGATTTAGCTTTTCATATATTTTTAAAACAATACTATGTTTTCAGTGAAAGTTTACACAGCAAATTAGGATCCCATTTAACAATTTCTACACAAATTGTTCAGTGACATTGGTTACATTTTTCACAACGTGTCAACATTCTCATTATTTCCGTTCTAGTTCCATTTCCAGTTATCTAGTTTCCCTGCCACCCTTATCTTCTCATCTTTGCTTTAGAGTAAATGTTAACTGTTTGGTCTCATACGGATTTTTTTAAAGGAGTACAGTACTTGTGATGGTTAATGGCATGTGTCAACTTGGCTAGGCTCTAATTCTCAGTGGTTTGGCAGACACTATGTATCACTTCCCATTTTGTGATCTGATGTGAACAGCCAATCAGTTGCAAAAGGAGTTTCCCTGAATGGCCTGCATTCATGATATAAATGAATGTTCTGGCAAAGCTTGCTCTCTCTCAATCCTGCATTTGTCTCACCATTCTCTGACCTCCAGTTCTTGGGACGAGACAAGCCTTCAGCTTGCTGCCTGCCCTGCAGATTTTGGATTCGCCAGCTCCCGCAACCCCGTGAGCCAGCAGCCTGCCACCTGACCTGCAGGTTTTGGGTTTGTCAACCCCTGCAACCACATGAGTAGGGAGAAGCCTCCGACTTCCACCTGACCCATGGATTTGGGACTTGCCAGCCTCCACAATTTCGTGAACCATTTCCTTGAAATAAATCTTTCTCTGTATATTTACATGTATGCTTCACTGGTTTTGTTTCTCTAGAGAACCCAGCCTAAGACAGTACATATGCGTGATATTCTCTATATTATGAGCCAATCTGTTATTTAGCAGTTATTTAGGTGATCTCCAGGAGTAGTTTCAATTCACAGTTTAAAGAGTCTCTCAGGGCAATAGTCTCGGGGGGTCCTCTAGTCTCAACCAGTTCAGTAAGTCTAGACTTTTTTTTTAATTGTGCTTTAAGTGAATCTTCACAGTTCAAGTTAGCTTCTCATACAAAAACTTATAAACACATTGTTATGTGACCCTAGTTGCTCCCCCTATAATATGACAGCACACTCCTTCTTCCCACCCTGGATTTCCCGTGTCCCTTCAACCAGCTCCTGTCCCTTTCTGCCTTCTCATCTCACCTCCAGACAGAAGCTGCCCATTTAGTCTCATGTATCTGCTCGAGCTAAGAAGCACTCTCTTCACAAGCATCATTTTATGTCCCATTGTCCAGCCTAATCTATGTCTGAAGAGTCGGCTTCGGGAATGGTTTCAGTTCTGGACTAACAAAATCCGAGGGCCATGTCTTCCAGGGTCCTTCCAGTCCCTGTCAAACCATTAAGTCTGGTCTTCTTACTAGAATTTGAGTTCTGCACCCCATTCTTCTCCTGCTCCATCAGGGACTCTCTGTTGTGTTCCCTGTCAGGGCAGACATTGGTGGTAGCCGGGTACCATCTAGTTCTTCTGGTCTCAGGCTGATGAAGTCTCTGGTTAATGTGACCCTTTCTGTTTCTTGGGTTAATATTCTCCTTGTGTCTTTGGTGTTATTCATTCTCCTTTGCTTCAAGTGGGTTAGGACCAATTGATGGCATCTTAGATGGCTGCTCGCTAGCTTTTAAGACCCCAGACACCACTCACCAAAATGGGATGCAGAACAATTTTTTAATAAGCTTTCTATGCCAACTGACCTAGATGTCCCCTGAAAGCATGGTCCCCAGACCCCTCAATCCCTGCTACTCTGTCCCTCAAAGTGTTCGATTGTATTCAGGAAACTTTAGCTTTGGTTTAGTCCAGTTGTGCTGACTTCCCCGTTAGTGTATGCTGTCCTTTCCTTCACCTAAGGTAATTCTTGTCTACTATCTAGTTAGTGAATACTCCTCAGTCTGGACATTTTAAGAATTTGAGTCTGTTATACGTTTTTCTCTCATTCTATCAGAATCCATTTATTGTGGCCCTGATCAGAACAGTCAGTAGTAGTAGCCAGGAACCATTTACTTCTTCTGGTCTCAGGATACATGAGGCCATCGTCTGTGTAGACTATTAGTTCTGTAGACTAGTTTCTTCTCTGAGTCTTTGGTTTCCTTCTTTTTCTTTTGCTCCAGACGAGTAGAGACCAATAGTTGTATCTTAGATGGCCACTCACAAGCTTTTAAGACCTCAGACGCAATCACCGAACTAGGATGTACAACATAGACTCTATGAGCTATATTATGCCAACTGGCCAAGCTGCCCCACGAGACTATGGTCCTAAGGCTTCTAACTCAGCAAACCACTCTGGCGAAGTATTTGTTATATCTAAGAAGTATCCATAATTGCGTCCCTTATGTGCTTTATTATATATATGAATATATATGCATGTATACACATACATGTATATACATATGCACAGATACACTTATACATGCACACATATATATATAGGCAGTCCCTGGGTTATGAACGTCCAACTTACGGACAACTCGTACTTAAGAACAGACTGCCATAAAGCAGTCGTGACACTCATGGAAGGCACTTTATTCTTTACCCATAAAAAGCAATGGACACAGTAATGGGCTTATAAGTGTTTTATATGCATAGAAAGGTAAAATATATACTATATACTAGGACAAACATTTGACTCAGGGAAAAAAAAAAAAACCAACCTGTTGACTAACTAATGCTTAATAAGAACCATAAATAACTGTTCCGACTTACCTACAAATTCGACTTAAAGACAGACTTAGGATCAGATCTTGTTCGTAACCTGGGGACTGCCTGTACACAGATACCTACCTATACACATATATGCATATATACCTACATATGTAACCACATGTATATGTTTTGGTTGTTGTTGTTATTGTTACAAAATTCTATGTTACAGCATTTACCAAAAATGTCCCTTATTCTTGTGTACTTATTGGTGACATCATTTACCTTGGTCAAGCTGTATGCACTTCACCCACATTCAGCACTACCGTTTCCACAAAAATAACAAGAGTCTACTATCTAGAGAGTGATTCCCTCTTCTTTCCCAACCTGTCTCTGGTAACCAAAAATAAGCATTGCTCTCTATATATCTATTCTTGTCTTCTTATAAAAGTGCAATCATATAATATTTGTCCTTTTGTGATTGACTTACTTCACTCAGCATAATGTCCTCCAGACTCATCCATGTTATAATATGTTTTGAGGACTCATCATCCCACCAACAATGGATGAGGATTCCAGTCTTGTCACACCCTTACTAGCATTTGTGGTTTTCTTTTTTTTTTATCTGCCATTTTAGCAGGGTTGAGATGGTATCTCATTGTAGTTTTGATTTGTATCTCTCTAATGACTAACGATCACTCACGAGCATCTTTTCCTGTGTTCCTTGGCTACTTGAATGTCCTCTTTAGTGAAGTGTCTAGCCTTTCATATTTTCTAAGCCTCAAAAAGTCTGGCCTTTCATATTTTCTAAGTCTCAAAAAGTCAGGAAACACCTTAAGGATCATACTAACAAAAAAGTTAATTTTCTTTGCATGTGAGACCACACAGTGTGTTTTTTGTGACTGCATGCACCAGTTCGGTATACAAGCGCCTTCTCCACAAAAATGCTTAACGCAAATTCCCTTAAACAAATTACCACTGTTATCTGGACTCACGGGAAGAGGATCACAGGTGTGACCAGAGAAGGTGAATGAAGAAGGCACTTTATTCTTTACCCATAAAAAGCAAGGGACACAGTAATGGGCTTGTAACATGGTAGCTGATATCATGAAAGAAAAGCCAAGCTTATACCCTTTGTTTTTTCGAACATTATAAAATATTGCCACAGTAAATGTCCAAACCTACACAGGCATATCTAATTGTGCATGCATCACTACAAAGGTGGCAGGTGGGCAACACAAGCTTAAGACAAAGACAAAAAACTCTCAAATTGAGAACACTAGATGCCATAATTTTTTTTTTCTTTCCCTGCAGATTGGGAAAAGACTGCTGGAATCTGATTCTAGTAACAGCACCCCCAAATTCTAGCTCACACAACACTAGCCGTCAGGAGAAAGGCTCTTAAGCAGCGGTCAATAAACTTTTTCTATAAAAGCCCAGAAAATAAATATTTTATATTTTGCAGACCATACAGTCTCTGTCACAACTACGCAACCCTGCTGGCGTAGCACAAAAGCAGCTACAGACAGTAAGCAAATAGGCATGACCGTGTTCCAGTGAAATTTTATTGATAAAAGCAGGCGGCAATAACAAGTGTTGGTGAGGATGTGGAGAACGGGAGCCCTCAGGCACTGCTGGTGGGAAAGTAAAATGGTACGGTCATTTTCTAAAACAGTTTGGCAGTTCCTCAAAAAGTTAAACACAGAATTACCATATGACACAGCAATTCCACTCCAAGGTATATATGCCCAAGAGACATGAAAACATATGCCCACATAAAAACTTATACACAAATATTCACAGCAGCATTATTCATAATAGCCCAAAAGAAAAAACAACCCTAATGTCCATCAACTGATAAATGGATAAACAAAATATGGTATATACATACAACAGAATATTATTTGGCCATAAAAAGGAATGAAGTACTAACACATGTTACAACATAGATGACCTTGAAAACATTGTTACGTTAAGGAAGTCAGTCATAAAAGACCACATACTGTATGATATGTCCAGAATAGGCAAATCCATAGATACAGATTGTAGATCGGTGGTTGCCAGGGACTAGGGAACGGGAGAAATGGGGAGCAGCTGCTTAATGGGTATGAGGTTTCTTTTTGGGGTGATGAAAATGTTTCGGAAACAGATAGAGGTGGTGGTTGCACAACGCTATGAATGTACCAAATGTCACTGAATCACTCACTTTAAAAGGGTTAATTTTATGGTACATGAATTATATCCCACGTTTAAAAAAAAAACACATAGCAGGCTAGATTTGGCCCGTGGGTCATGGTTTGCTAAGCCCTGCTCTAAAGGAAATGCCTGGTTTCAGCCCTGGTACCTCGTTTGCCCAGGCAAGAGCATGAGGCCCACTGCCCTTCCCTCACTCCATATGCTGCCCCCAGCACTGGTGCCTATCATCTAAGGCCTGTCCCAGACCTGCTCACTCAGCATAGCTGGCGGTCACCTGAACATGAGGACGTGTTTTTACAAAGCTCAAGTGATTGTAATGTCACCCCACTGACATACAGACATTGAGACAGTTCTCTTGAGTTAGTCACAAAACAGAAGCATGGCCTAAGTTAGATTTTCATTTTCAGAACTGACCTAAAATGTCAGAAAGCATTCACCACTGAATTAGAAAAACAGAGAGGAAGAGCTTACTTTAATGATGTGGCCATCCTGACGTATTCAGGAGCTTTCTGGTCAACCTTCTCCATGTAAAGTCGTAGTTTCTAAGCATAAAAAAGAAGAGGTGAATTTGGAAATGAACAGTGGTGATGGCTGCACAACATGATGAACACAATGTCACTGAACTGTACACGTGAAAAAAGTTGAAATGGCAAATGTTTTGTTATAAATATTTTTGTAAAATGTGGTAAAAAAAAAAATACAGAGTGGTTTTCATTTTTTAAGTTGTTATAGATTGCCTGATTTACAAAACTACTTTATAAGCAGAAAACCTTGCCATAAGGAAAGAGAAGGTGGACTTATTAAACAGATGTTTTTGAAAGAAGCAACGCCTTCCAAGAAACAAATCAATGTGTCTACCAAGGCAGAGAAGAGGAATTAGCCATTACATTCTTTTTTGACCAGGTGGTGCCATGCAACAGCAAAACACCAGCACAAGACATTGCCAGCGCTTACCTCAAAAAAGAAAGAAGCAAAAAGGACATTGGCTGTTTATGAAAATAAGGCATCAGTCATGAACTCCACACAAAGGACGGATAATAGCTACATGGGTAGCTGAGCAGAGGGCTTAATTAACACCATTTCTAGTAGCTTGGGTATTTTTATAGTGATTCCAGAAACATGGCCATTATGATACAGAACTGCTTACAGTGACCATTCAGTGGTCATTAGACAAAAGTACACTCTTGCCCTGCTCCGGGTTTTTCTGGAGCTGCCTGGGCTGCTATCTTCCTCCCCATCTCCTATGCCTCCCTGCCCAACCACCACCTGGCTAATTCCTACTCCGTCTGCAGGTCTCACCTGGCCATTGGGAGGCTAAACCCAGCCTCACTCCCAAATGTCTTGATTCTAAATCCCATGCTCTTTACGCTACAGGCAGTCCCTGGGTTATGAACATCCGACTTACAGACAACTCATACTTGTCCTTTAATGTTAGGTAAATCTGCCCTCACTTTGAAACAACTGAACCAACCCCTACTCAAAATAAATTCTTCATCACAATCACCTTCACTTGTTGCATGTGCAGCTTTTAAATCATTGAAAAGGCTTCCAGCCTTTTCTTGCACTGAAGTAAGGCTAAATAAGAACCGTGTGTACCTGTTGCAACTTACCTACAAATTCGACTTAAAGACTCAGAGAGAGTTAGGAATGATCTCGTTCGTAACCCGGGGAGTGCCTGTACACTATGTTCCTCTTAAAGTGTGCATCTGCTAAGGGTGTTCTGGGATCGCTGGTGGTAACATGAGCTGAGGCATCTGAACAGACGTAAAAGGGGAAATGCTAACCCTGATGGGCAATTTCCTAAACATGTAGCCTAAGACTCCCAGGTGAGTCTCCCAGGGTGTGAACCTGCCCACACCATGTGGCAACCACTATTCCACTCCTTGCTTCTGGGCCACCAATGCGTCCACCCTCCTGCAAAGGAAGGGTGAGGAAACATGTTGGTTAACAACATACCCAAGATGGCTCTGTGACTCACCCAGGGCCCTGGCCAGGAAATCAGATGATGACACTTCAGCAGAAGCTTAAAATTACTCAAAGGAACTACTGACTTTCCAAAGCACTCTCAGGACTCTGCAGGCAAGTGCACAACGAACAGCTGAGTCTGCCTGGCAAGTCAGAGGCAGACCCTGGGCTACACACGTGCCTCACCTCGTAGAGCTTCACGACGTCAGGTGTGTGCTCCTTCTCATCAATCTGCTGCTCTCTCTTGAGAAGCGTGTCCTTGCAGTGCATGCAGCAGCGGATGCGGTCATCATCCTTCTCGTCCAGCACGGAGCTCACACTGCTCATGCTGCTGATGCTGCCCCGGCGGGAGCCATGGACACTGGTGGGTGAATGGCTGGGGCTGGTATGGGTGCTCAGGGAGTCCTTGCTGGCACTGGTTAGCTTGTCTGTAAACCACAACAGAGGACAGACAGCAATGAGCCCCCAGCGTCCAAATATTCCATCTCCCAGGACAGCAGCACATCTGTCCACAGGTACCTGATTTGGGGGACAAGCAGCCCAGGCTCCTCCTATGGGCAAGAAGTACCTACACCTCTGCCTTCCTGGGGTCAGGCTCTGGTAGGGAAGGACTCCCACTGCACTCCAGGGAAGGTCCAAACGGCCTAGAGTGGTCTGTCTTCAAGGCTCAGAGGCCCACCCTAACTTGGCCTCACCACACACCACCTCCCTCCATTTTCCCTGTGCCTCAGACACACCCACACCCTCCCCATTGACACTTTTCTCCACAGCCCGCCGTCCCCCATTCCCAAACCTCTCTTCCTACCCTTCCAGAGTGCAGCACAATGATACGTCCTCCAGGAAGCCTTCCCTAGTTCCTAGGGGTAAAAACCACCATCCCTATCAGCTCCTACCACACTGCCCATGCTGGGGCACTTCCCACTGTCCTGCTTGTACAACAGTTATATACACACCCCAGAGCTGCCCGAGGAACCTGTGACTCTTTGAGAGTAGAAGCTGTCTTACTTATACTTGTACACCTAACATACCCAGCAAGGCCACTCACTCCATAGCAGCTGCCCAGGAAATGCTGGTTAATTAGTCCAAAGAAGAAAAATATTCTACAAAAACATAGCTTATCAAATTTCAGGTGAGACAGGGAGTCGATCTCCAAGACAAAGGTGAAGTATCAAGGTAAAGTGAGCCTGGCAGATGTTGGACAGAGGAAGCCTCTGCTTGGGCCCCCACATTGTCCAGACACCCTGTGGCCAACAGCAGGCACAGAATCCATGGGACTCTCCAGTGTTCAAACCCACCCTAAACATCAACAAGCCAGTGCGATCATCTTTAGCAACTTTTAACCAGCCAAGATTCAAAGTCCAGGACCATGTAGTCCCACCTCAATTTTGTAGTCTCATTCCCACAATTCCTAAACATGCAGTCTACACTCTGCCAACTATTCCATTTGCTCATCTACTAACCTACTCTGAGTCTTTCCAAATTCCATGCCTCTGCTGCTTGGCACTCTACCCAGGCACACCCTTCTCCCCACTCTCTTTGTCAATCCTACTCATCTTTTGAGGCTCCTCTGGAACCTCTCCTCCCGGCCCTGAGCACCCGTGCTCCCACTCTCCTCGAGACTCCACAGCACTCAGTCTCTCTCATGTTATGACATTACAGCCTGTTCTACACAACAGTGAGCGGTGAGTGGCTTTCATCCCAAAGGAAGGGACCAGTTCACTTCTCATTTTTCAAGTCCCTCTTCTACAGTCTCCTTTAGAAGCCCCACCTGCCCCATCCAAGCAGAGCTGATGAAGAGTTGATGAGCCTCTCCTGGTGCCTGTCATGCTTCTCTAATTGAACTTAACTCTGTATAAAGCAACTATTTGTTTGTGAGTCTGTATCCCCTGTTAGACTGGGACTCCTGGAGGAATGGACCATGCCTTATAGACCAAAAAAAACTAAACCTGTTGAGCCATCAAGTCAATTCCAACTCATGGCGACCTTACGCGTTAGAGAGTAGAACTGCTCCATAGGCGTCTCCTTGACTGTAATCTTTTCAGAAAGCAGTTCAGGCTTTTCTTCTGAGGTGCCACTGGGTGGGTTCAAACTGCCAACCTTTAGGTTGGCAGCTGATCACAAACCACCTGCACAACCCAGGGACTTTGCCTTATAGACCAGGGGTGGGCAAATGATGACCCACAGACCAAATGCAGCCTCGGCCTGTTTTTGTTTTTTTAAATGATATTTTATGTGTTTTCGGTGAAAGCTTACACAGCAAAATAGGTTCCCATTCAACGATTTCTACACAAATTGTTCAGTGACGTTGGTTACGTTCTTCACAATGTGTTGACATTCTCATTATTTCCATTCTGGTCGTTCTGTTTCCAATAATCTAGTTTCCCTGCCCCCTCACATTCTCATCTTTGCTTTAAAGTAACTGTTGACCATTAGGTCTCATATAGATGATTGGCCTGGTTTTATGGCCCTCAAGTTAAGTATAGTGTTTATATTTTCAAAAGGTTATTAAAAAAAAAAAAAGAAGAAAAGTGTCACAGAGACCATGTGTAGCCCACAAAGCCAGATATTTACTATGTGCCACTTTACAGAAAAAGTCTGCTGACCCCTGCTACAGACCATTGTGTCCCAAGCCCCAGTGCAGAGCCTGTAGGGGGCTTCATGCAGTCAACAGTCGAATGAATGAAGATCTCATGGGCCATTAGTTTGAACAAAAAGGTCGCATGATTCCAGTCGTAACAAGCTAATCCCAAGAGCAGATAAGTGCCCGGGGGCCACCTCCACAGGGGCTGCCTCCACGTTACCTACTTGCCAGGGGAAGGCTGATGAACTCCATGCACTTCTTGCACATAATAGACCCGCAGAGGCGGCAGTGGTGGCGGCGGTTACGGATGCCGAACTTATTTCCACAGTCTGGACAGAAAGGGACGTCCTGGTCGTTGACCCAAGGCACCACTGACTTTTCTATTGCTTTGGGAAAAACGAATCAAAAACAAACAGAAAAACAGGCCATTTTTACAAGAGATTTGGTCAGGGAGTAAAATAAAGAATAGAATGAATGTGAACCAAGTTCTAGGGTTACCTCGAATCTTAGCAGATTCGGCATTCGTTCTGTCAAACGCAGTGAGCTGATAAGGAGAAAACAGTGCCAATGGAGTCAATCAGGAGATGCGCACACTTTCCACAGGCAGGAGGCATCAAGTGGGAACAAGCACATATGCTTTTCTCAAGTCTCACCTGTCACCCCTAATCCCACAAGTCACGAAAGCAAGTTCACGTGGGACAGAGTCTTAGTTTGCACGTCGAAGGCACCTCCCTTCCTATCTCTTTATTGTCAGTTACCCACGTAAGCAATAACCAGGGATGAGCAAGGATGAGGCACAGCCGGCTACTAGAAGCAATGGGGAACTCCCAATTCTCCACAGTCCTCCTGGATACAATTTTCTGCCCTACAAAGTACACAAGAAGAGCTGTACCCATGTTTGCTACCATGCCCACCACACAATCCAGGTTATACACCACAAGCATTTCTAGAGGCAAAGTAAAACAGAGCAGTCGTGGCATGAGACATGCTCCCATACCACAGGACAAGAAGGCCCAGTCAGATGTTCCCACTGCATGCTGGCTCTGTCTGAAAACCTCCACAGACCTGGTCACCAGTTTTCCTCTGTTTGCCATCAAATGATATCACACACTATGGCCCGTGAAGTGATACTGCCCAGGACACCCAAAAGAGAAAATCTGAGGGTAGAAAGGTTTTCCAGCAGCCAGTGGACTCCATGGTAGGAAAAGGGAAGCCAGTATGGGCCGAGTCTGTCAAACTGGACCTTTCCCTTCATAAAACCGTCCAGGCTAGAAAAGTCTACCTCGTCCTCTGCGCTTTCTAAGGAGGGTGTTTCCCTGCCAGCATCAGATATACACGATACACATTCACAGGCTGCAGAAATGTAATTTTTTTCTCCTAGAAAATTCATATTTGCAGAAAAAAAAAGTGTTTTGAAACAACAAAATTTACCTTCTCTAACCTGATTATTAACTTATTGACTTCGACAACATAGTGGTCAATTCTGGCAGCTCGGTGTTTTTTGAAATTGGAAAGATGACTTCTCATAGCACCTAGAAGGAAGGAAGGTGAGGAAGTAAGTGACTTGTAATCTCTCTGACTGAGCCTCTCTATCTTGCTGCTTATTTCAGTGAATTTCAGAAGCAAGTAAGAATTCTGGGATTTTAGAGTCTTACTATAAAAATTCAAAAACTAGGAAAGCAAATGGAAGGAAATTTTCTAAAATGTTAGTTAACTATGGTTACGCCAGAGGCCACAAAGTGCAATAAAAGAAACCTCAGAGTATAGTGGGTAAGAGCTTGGACCCTGCAGCCAGACTGTGCTCAAGTTCCAATTCTTCCATACACTCTGTGACCTTGGACAAGTTACCTAACCTCTCTGAAACTTAAGAGTACTCGTCTATAAAATAGGGATAACAATAGTACCTACTTCATAGGGCTGTTATGAGGATTAAGTAAGTTAAAATTTATAAACTCCTTAGAACATTGCCTAGCACATGAACATCTATTACATAAAAAGGACAAAAACCTTATGGGCAATTTTTAAAAACTTTCCTTCATACTTTCCTGTACTTTCTAAAGTTGGTACAAGATAGTTTTTCCTCGGAATAAAAACAATCCCTCCCCAAATGGCCAAAAATTGTAAATGATAATAAATGCCCTTGTAGGAGCTAGTTAAACTGATACCTCCTCCATTCAGCAACCAAGAGCCAGAACAAACCTCCCCAAACCAAATGGAGCCAAGCAGCTTGTTGTTTCAATGTACCTGAAATATCCCTGCTCAATCTCATCTCTTCCAGAATCCAACCCTGCCCCTCACCCTCCCAGCCCTCACGTCACTTTCTCCTCCCAGTGAACACCTACTCATTTATGCAGTGTGCTGTATCCAGAATTTGTCACACTCTTAAGCATTTATGCCTCTTTCTTCCCTAACCATACTCTAACACCTAATTAAATTGTACTTTAGAATTCTTAGGGGTGATAACAAACATTAACTTCCAAAATTTGCCATTTGCTTGACCTTCCACAATTTGTGACTTCCTTCAGCAGCTGAAACAGGCAAGTTAATCAAAATCACCCTAATAATCTGACATCAGCAATCCTGAACCAAGAATTCCCATGCCTTAAATTTCTCCCTCATGCCTCTAATTAGATTTATATGTAACTCATAATTACATATGTACAGTATTACTTTTAAAAAAGTAATTTTCTTTTGCTTCATACTTTATTCTAGGACAATGCTGTCTTGTATAACTTTCTACAATGACAAAAGGGCTCCCACTGTCCAATATGGTAGCCACTGGTGGCGCAATGGTTAAGAACCTGGCTGTTAACCAAAAGGTTAGCAGTTTGTACCCACCAGTGGCTCCAAGGGAGAAAAGACCTGGCAATCTGCTCCCGTAAAGATTATAGCCTAGGAAACCCTACGGAGCAGTTCTACTCTGACACGTAGGGTCGCTATGAGTCAGAATTGACTCAATGACACACAATAACAGCCATATGCAGATACTGAGCGCTGGAAATGTGGCTAGTGTGATTGCAGAATCAGTTTTTATTTCATTTTAATTAATTTAAATTTAAATAGCCACATATGGCCAGTGGCTACCATACTGCGCAGCACAGTTCTAGGACTTTCCTCACCCAGAAAGACACCTTCCGTAATGGCACTACTAGGATACAGTAGATGACCCTAGGAAAACATCACTTCCCTTCTTAGGGCCTCAGTTTACTTACCTATAAATGGGAATGAGCATCCCTACCCATTCTATCTCACAAGGCTTTTGTGAAAAATGAACAAGATAATGAATATGAAGGTAGGATAAAGTATTGTGCATATAGAAGCAATTATTACTTATCCATTTCATGGACAAACAATACTTTACTATAATAATGATTGTTATCGTCCAACAGTTAAAGGATATGCAAGATTATCTAGTTCACCTCAGTATGGCATGATTTGTTTTATAACAGCTTTATTGCGATATAATTCACATACCATACAGTTCACCATTTAAAGTATACAATTCAGAGGTTTTTAGTATATTCACAGAGTTGTGCAACCATCACTGCAATCAATTTTAGAATATTTTCGTCACCCCAAAAGTATGATTCATTTTGAAAGTAGATGATGCCATAATTATGTGCTTCAGAAAACAAGTAGCACAAACCAGTGGCTCTAGCTAGGCAGATAACATCTTACACAAGAGGAGATATTCCCATCAACGACGTTTGGGACTGGGCATCAGGGAGACCTGGATCCACACGCTGTTCTGCAGTTTTCTAGCTGTTTGGCCTTGGGTAGGTTCCCCTGGGTGCAGTGAGGATTAAGAGACCATGCATGTAAGGCATTTCAGGCAGTGCCTGACACAGAGCAGACACTCAGCTCCTTCTCTCCCATCTTCTCCCCTCACTAGGACATAAAGTCTGTGACGAGATTAGACCATTTTGGTTTTCCAATGCCTCTTCAGCGAACTCTTAAAATAGAACCTAGAACATAGGAGATGCTCAATAAACATTTGCTGAATGAAAGAATGAACTTTCTTACCAAGTTCCTGGGGCTCCCACATGTAAGGATCAACGCCTCCATAGCTGAAAGACTCATATCCTTGGGTTCCCGATTCTGCTCGGTCATCTCCTTCTCGTTTCAACAACCTGTTCTTTGCTTTCTTAGCCTTCTGGACGAGACCTTGGAAAAAATGGAAAAAATAACACAAATGAACCCATGAAGAACTCTCAGTAAAAAGTCAAGGGAAATCTCAGAAAACAAGAGTTAATAAAAAAAAAAAAATGTGCTTTGTTTAAAAATGCTTAAGAAATTTCTGGATCCCAAATAAAACCCAACAATAAGCACACAAATACTGTATTACAAATACCACAGAGCAATACACTCACTAGTCAGTATTAGCAGTAAATTGGTTTATGTGGCCAACATATACGCTAAATCACTGTTCACTGCCAAATTTAAGAATCCAATTAAATAAAAGTGTTAAAATTAAATCTGATGAAAAGAACCAGGGTGACGGAGTATTTTTTCCTATATCTTAATTAGGGTGGTGAGGAGCCCTGGCGGCACAAAAATGGTTAAGCACTTGGCTGCTAACCAAAAGGTTTTGGCAGTTCGAACCTACCCAGTGGCTCCACGGAAGGAAGACCTGGCAATCTGCTTCAGTAAAGATTACAGCCAAGAAAACCTTATGGGGTAGGTCTCCTCTGTCACATGGTGTTGCTATGAGTCAGAAGAGACTCAATGGCACCTAACAACAACAACTGGGGTGGTAGTTACATGAGTTTCTACATTTTTTCAGAATTTATATTGGATTATAAATTTACAAATTTATGTGTATACTGGGGCCCTGATGCCACAGTGGTTAAGAGCTATGACGGCTAACTGAAAGGCTGGCAGTTCAAATTCAGCAGCCGCTCCTTGGAAACTCTATGGGGCAGTTCTACTCTGTCCTGCAGGGTAGCTATGAATCAGAATAGACTCGATGGCAATGGGTTTTTTGTTGTTGTTGTTTATGTGTATACTACACCTCAATTAAAATAATTAAAAAAAAAATCACATTCTACAGTACTAATTTATTTATCCTAGCAACTCATGAGTAAAACTTACCTCCATGATGAGATTCAGCCAAAAAAATTCTTAATTCTAAGTTGCTGACTCATTAATTTTCTTAAATCTTGAGTGACTGCTATCCTTTTCTGACACTAGTCTCGTAAAAAATATCAAATCTGATACAATAATAAATCTAATACAAAATGATATAATTTCTTTTACATTTAGTAGATTTTTAAGTAAGTTCCCATGACTCTGAAATGCTGTCACTTGAATAACATTAAAGATATCCCCACAGGTTTTCAAAAGCCTAGGTAAATGCAGATATGGAGGGAGAGGCTGGCTGGTAGAGGGTGAAAGTGATAAGATAATAGGCATGTCTTTGTTAGGCAGAAGAGCTAATAAAGCAAACTCCCTGATTATCAGTCATTCTGCGATGGCTTTCTCCAACAGCTGGAAAAATAGTCTACCAGAACTGAGGAGTCCCTGAGTGGTGCAAACAGTTAAGCACCTGGCTGCTAACTGAAAGGCTGGAGATTTGAGTCCACCCAGAGGCACCTCGAAAGAAAGTCCTGGCGATCTGGCTTCTAAAAAATCAGCCACGAAAACCCTATGGAACAAAGTTCTACTCTGACACACATGGGGTTGTCATGAGTCAGCTTCAACTTGATGGCAGCTGGTTACCGGAACTGAAGGACATCCTTTAAAATGCATTTGTCTTTTTTAACAACAGGGAAGAGGAAATCCCTGACTGAACAAAGGGTCTAGTAGACAGGAAACTGAAGTTAGCAAACACCAATCCATTTTTGCAAACAAGACAAAACTGGGTTGAATTAAACAGGCAGTCTGTACCATTCAACCACTATTAGGCAGCATAGAAAAACTGTCTGACAACCTTCCTAACACGGGTGTAGCCCTTCGAGAGGGGGCCAACTAAGAACCATCCCATGTATTTTTAAAAACACTTACAACGCAGTTTTCAACCACTGTTTCTTCAACTTACTGCAAATGTCCTAAAATGAAGCTGAACTCACTGATAGGACATTCAAAAAAAAAAAAAACTACCTCTAAAACCTGGCAAAAACCTTAGCTCTTTTGGTTTCAACATTTCGCTTGCTTAAAATTAGCAAAGTCATAAAATTTCTAAGAATTCAGAGACCAAATGGCAAGATGATCTGCTTTTGTAGAGCTTTTCAAAAATCTTTGATATCAGCCTTTAAAACTTTACTTTCCTGATTTTGAAACACAGAAAACTGTGACATAAGCAAGAACTACCTCCTGACTAAAGACATGACTACAGATGGTACTAAAGGAATGCTGAATTCAATCTTAGTTCTTCTGAGGTAAAGATGCAAAAAAGAGAAAAAAAAACTTCTGCTTTCAAGTTTTTTTCATAAGGAATAAAATTTCATTTCATGTCTTATCAACTATATCACACATTTTTGCATTAAAATACTGAAAGTATAAAGAAAGAATAAATCCTTTTTCCAGAATCGCAGAGCGACTAAGGGAAAAAGCTGGTATTCAATCATAGACCTTACTCCAAAAACAGTGTTCTTTCCAATCTAACCAAAACCAAACCAAACCTACTGCCATCAAGTCAATTCCAACTCACAGTGACCCATGTGTTACAGAGTAGAACTGCTCCATAGGGTTTTCTTGGGTTTAATCTTTATGGAAGCAGACAGCCAGGCCTTTCTTCTGTGGTGCCGCAGGGTGGGTTTGAACTGTCAACTTTTAGATTAGCAGCCCACTCTATTATCCCTAAACAGAGTTCCTTATCTATTATTCCTTAAATAATCTTAAACATTCTCCTCTAAAAGAAGGCTCGTCACAGGCATCTGAAGGCATTCTCTAACCTCTCTACCCACTGGCGTCATTGTCAGTAATATTGTGGTATATGACTCAGTGCAGCTGACACAAAGACTGGAGGCTCATTGAAAATCACAGAGGCCTGTCAGCTGGCTACAGGAAACTTAGGTAATCAGCAGTCATTTTCTCTTTGGAGGAAACTGCAATGCATGCAGTGATTGGATTACGAGGCCTCACGTTATCAGTGATGCCCATGTGGAAAGAGCAGGTGAATTTGAAGATGACTTAAGACCTGGGTGCCAGAGCTTGCTGTGCCAGTTCCTGTGTAACCGTGGAGAGTTGCTCAGCATCTCAGAGCCTCACTTATTATCTCTAACACAAGAGCAACCGCCTTCCTGCAGGTTGTTGGGAGAGTCAAATGAAGTAATAATGTATGTGAAACAGCTCTGAAAACTATAAAGCACAATACTTTTTTTCTGGCAGGGGGTGGGGGAGGAGCTCCTAACAGTTACGGCTCTGCTACAGCTTTTATAGCCAGAAGCCACCTCATCCATCACAGCCCTCAGTATTTTGAAAATGTTTGACCTTGTCATGTTTCTAGATGGCAGTTATAGTTGTTAATGCCTTTAGTCATCTGAACTGAGAAGTCAGACACGGAGTGAAACTCTAGGGGAAAATATCTGATTACGGGCTGCATGTGACTCACATGTTTAGAGGCCAAAGTCCACTTAGGAATCATTCCCTTTTCTCCCACCCACAAAGAATTGTGGAGAACTGTGAATACAGCATCTCCTCGCCTTCAGAAATGCTGCCAGCTGTGAGAAGCCGGTTAGCTCGATCACTAGGAAGTGAGCTCCAGAAGAGCTGCATCTTACTTGGGAGTAAGAATCTGAAGTCTAGAATACACAATCAACACTACGTATAGTCAAAATTACCTCTGAAAAATTCTTTCTTACGATGTGCAGGGGGGAGGGAGTACATTGAAACTCCCTGTACTTTCTGCAAAATTTTTCTGTAAATCTAAAACTGCTCTTAAAAATAGTCTATTTAAAAAAGGAAACAATTACTCTTTAACTCTCCAAGACCTGAGCCTCTGGAAGCTGAAAATCCAAGTTTTAACTTTTTGGGTTGTTTCTCTCTGCTTTTCAACTATGCCCTTCTTTTTCCTGGGCTGCAGAAGGCAAAGTCTACTTGGGGAAGGAAGGATGGCAGGAAGGCTTCAATCTGTGGCAGGTAAATGGGCTCATAAGGTGCCTCCAATTTAATAGCAAAGGAAAAGAATTCCACTCCCAAACCCTCCTAGGGTGGTGGTTAGATAATTCAAACAGTCTAGCAAGAGATAGCAGAATGTGGTGATTACAGTTACCTAGGTGCAAAGCCTCTGTCTCACCCTGTGACTTTAGACAAGTTGCCTAATCTCACCTTGTCTGCTATCTTCACCAATAAAATGAGGCTCATAATCAGATGCTTACAGTGGAGATTAAATTAATACATAGGAAGAACTTTGAACAATGCCTGGCATATGGCAAACACTAGATATATGTTTGCTACTATCATACTAATTTATTTGATTAGTATCATATTCTGGTGGCACCATGGAAGCTGATGAAAACCATCCCATGTGCCTCTTACTTTTAATTTGTCCTCTGACATCACGATCTTCCCCTGAGTGCTCTTCCTCATAATGTGACTGAAGCTGATAGAAAGACTGCAGGTCCTTCAGGCATAGAGGGCAGAGGAAGCCCTCCCTCACTTCCCCCGGGTCGTCCAGGGAAGCCATGGCAGTGCCTTCTCAATCCCCACAAGGCAGTGGCCTCATGCCAAGAGTCAGCTTGATTCCTCCACAAGGGGCTGGGGCTCCTGCAGCATTAGCTTAACCAAACAGCACACTGATGACGGGGAAGTGGCATCATGGCCCTGGATGAAGTTTCCTCTCTGGAGCAGTAAGAGCCCTGAGAAAGGAAGGAAAGGGGGAAAAAGGCCGATACAGGCAAATTAGCAGTAACTGAAAACTCTCTTTGTTCTTTTCACAGTTCAACAAGGGTCGTCAATGTTTGTTCAGTGCAAATTTAAGAAAGCAAACTACTTTCTCAAAGCCTTAGACCAAGACATAAAGTCTTCTAAGATTTGAGAATGTCACTGGACAATGGAAACTCAATGAAGTGGGAAGAAGAGATTCTTGAAGATCAGAAAGGAAAATTCAATTTCAAAAGCAAACACAACACCCAGGCAATTCTCTTGACATTATTCCAAACGGTCCAACTTCATAATTTGTATGCCACTGTGGCCACTGAGGAAATTTCTGAAGTATTCATCAGCAAGTAGAAGTTTTTATTTGGCTCTCTTTATCTTGATCATTTATTCAACTGCATATATTGAGTTCTTGCTAGTTGCAAAGCATCTGTGCCAGGAATGCAAAGATAAAAAACAAACAAAAAACCAAACCAACCAACCAGAAAAAGACTCATCTCAGTCTAAGGAGGAGCATTACAAAACCTAGTGTAATGGAAAGAAAAATCTGTTTTGTGCTTTATATTTGTAGAGCACTTTCTCACCAATGAGCTTACTAGATATTATAAATCAGTAAGTGGCAGTTGAGCAGCAAGCCTAACGTTCTCACTGCTTCAAAAATAAAAGGACTTCAGGGCTTAATAAGTTACATTTTCTGGCTTACTGGGTCATGGCAAAGTCACTTCCAAGGTCACTTCAGAAAGACTCCTAGCCATAGGAAGAATCCAGACAAAATCATTCCACAAAAGTAGACAAATTTTTCCTCAGGAACCTCTAGCCACAAACCACTGTCTAGAGTGAGGGGCAATGTGTGACCCTCAGCTTTGGATGGACTTGTTCAGAGAGCCATTGAAGAGGGACCTCCTGGTCCCCAAACTTGAAGAGTGGTGGTGACCCAGAAAATAATCAGTTGGAGACCCCAGGTCCCAGTTTTTTCCTCTAGCTAAGAAGCACTGGTGGTTCAGTGGTAGAATTCTCGCTTTCATGCAGGAAACCTGGGTTCGATTCCTGGCCAATGCACCTCATGTGCAGCCACCGCCTGTCTGTCAGTGGAGCCTTGCATGTTATGATGCTGAACAGGTTTCAGGGGAGCTTCCAGACTAAGACAGGACTAGAAAGAAAGGCCTGGCCTGATTCAAAAATAAGCCAATGAAAACCCAATGGATCACCATGGTCCAATCCACAACTGATCATGGGGATGGTACAGGACCAGGCAGCATTTTGTTCTGTTGTGCAAGGGGTCACCATGAGTCAGGGGCCAACTCAATGGCAGCTAACAACAAACAACAATAAGCTTAATAAGTACATGCGTGCAATTCCCAGCCGCTTTTCTAGGTGGTCACTGAAATAGTAGCCCAAGGTCTGATTTGTTCCCTCTCCAGCCAATGGTTCATCTAACATCCTGACTCTGACAGTCCCCTTCCTTCCCAAGCACTCACCCATAACCACCACAAATCAAACACTAACACCCCCCACGACATACACACACTCCCTCACACACACCCTTCACATCCCAGCCCAAACCTCACTTCCTCAAGGAAACCTTCTCCGACTGGAGACACACCCTCCATCTGACAGCGCCCCGCACTTGTCCTTCACAACACTCATCTCAATTTATAATCACATGTACATATGTAAAGTGACTAAACATACAAGACTGTAAGCTCTGTGAGGGCAGAAACTATGTCTGTTTTCCCCGCCATCATATTCCCAGGGTTTAGCGTAGTGCCTGGCACACATATAGTCGAAATGCAATAAGTCCATGAATGAATGAACGAACCCTAAAATCATATAACCAAACACACACCAACAAATTGGACCCCAGGACCATAAATGAACACATATGCAAGCTCCACAACTCCAAATCGCGTAAGAAATGAAAAATAAAATCCACGTATCCTGCAACTATGCGTCCTACTTGAACGCTATCCTACCACATGCTTCATAGACTACACATCCCACCGCCGCACTCACCACAGTCTCAAGACCACAACCACTGACCCACATAACTTATCACGACTATGCATACGTCGTATAACCACAGACAATATGAAAGATCCAACCCCCATGGAGCACAGACATGACAACTCCACACATCGCACAGACACAACACAAACACTACAAACAACTCCACACAAACTCAGAACACAAACGCCTCAACCTCACACAAACAGAGAACTAAACACAAGCATTCGGTAGGCAGCCATCCACTTCTCAGCCGCATAACCAAACACGACGGGACGCGTCCCGCATAACCACAAAGAACCCAATCATCACAAGCACACACAAGTGAAATCCAAAGCCCGAAAGCCACATATCCCAGCACGTATGTCACACCCATCACAACCACCCACATCCGACGCCCACACGGCCGGCCTGTCTCAGTTCCCGAGTGGTGCTGCGCCTCCGCCCCTCAGGCCGGACCTGCCTTCTGTAACAGGCTGGGGTTCTGCGGGAGCGCTGGCCTCTCAGGTCCTCCCGCTGGGGCTGTGGGCCTTCACAGTCCCTCACGCTACTGCGGCCGCCATCGCCATCGTCTGCTCGGTGCTCGGCAGGTGCGCCTGCGTAGGCGGTGCCCAAACCGGAAGGCAGGCTGGGAGACGCCCGTAGAGCGCCGAGTCTTCGAGGGTGTGAAGGGGGCGGGAATGTACTCGACCTGTTCAAGGGACGACCGGCGGCTTCTGCGCAGGCGCCATAAGAACGAAGAGGGGTGGCTTAGTAGTTAAAACCATAGCCTGGTAACCGAAAAGTCGGTGGTAGGAAACCACCAGCGGCTCGGCGGGAGAAAGATGTGGCAGTGACCTTGCAAACTCTATGGGGTAGCTATGAGTCAGAATTCACTGGATGGCAGCAGGTTTTTTGTGTTTGGATAGTTGTTTGTAGGGATCCCTGGTGTTGCAATGGTTAAGTGCTCCGCTGTTAACCGAAAGGTGGGCGGTTGGAACCCACCAGCGCCTCTGCGGGAGAAAGATTTAGCAGTCAGCTTTCTTAAAGATTACGGCCTAGGAAACCCTATGGGGCAGTTCTACTCTGACCTATAGGGTCGCTATGAGTCTAATCGACTTGACGCAGTAGGTTTGGTTTTTTGTAGTTTTTTGTGCCAGTGAATGAGTCAGCTGACGGGATCTTTAAACCCCTTCCGCCCTACCCCCAATTGCAGTTCTAAATTAATTAAAGAGTCAAAGTCCTTCAGAGCTAGAGTTGGAAGACTTGAGGAGAGTTGAAGATGTGGAAAACTCGGAATCGAACCACATAAGGGTGTGCGCTTGGAATGAGAAGGTGTATCCAGTGGATGTACAATATGGTCAAATCTATGCCATTTTCAAAAAACAGGACGGATTATTCAGCACCTACTCCGTGTCTTGCACTGTGCTGGGGAACCACAGGGTGTAGGGAGACAAAACCTAATTCCAGTGCTGGTAGAACGCTGGACTTACCAATGGCGTGGGCTCCAGAGACAAGAGCTGCAGAGCATGATGGCCTGGGCTTTGGAGTTCAGGTTCCCCAGTCTTACTTTGCTCCTTTGATCCTTGGTATTACCGTCTGTAAAATGGGGACAGTAGTCTCCACCTCATAAAGTTTTTGTGAGGATTAAATGAGGGGATGTTATCGTTGTTAGCTACCACCGAGATGCCGCCTACTCATTGTGATAGGTTGTGAAGCCACGATTACAGGCAGGAATAGCATTGCGGTCAGAGGATGAACCTTTCATTAAACCATGAGTTTGCCTGACATTTTATCTTTCACAAAAACAAATGTCACTTCACCATTTGGTTTGCTTAAAAAAGCCATGGCAATGTGGCCTGCAGCTTGTGAATTAATTCTGGAAATCATGAAGTCTCCGCCACTGATGTTCCAATTTTTTTTTCCTTGTAAATTTTATTTATTTTGTTGTTGAGATATACACAGCAAAGCATACACCAGTTCAACAGTTTCTACATGTACAATTCAGTGACACTGATTACATTCTTTGAGTGGTACAACCATTCTCACCTTCCTATTCTGAGTTGTTCCTCCCTCATTAACATAACCTCACTGCCCCCTAAGGTTCCTATCTAATCTTTCAAGTTGCTGTTGTCAGTTTGATCCCATATAGATAGTTCTTAAAAGAACATAATGCTCAAGGCAGATCTTTTTAACTAGTTAAGCTAAACTGTTGTTTGTTTTGAAAATGACTCACTGATGTTCTATTGATATTTTTAAGAATGATGGTAACAAAGACCTTCCTGTATGCTTCACAGTTTATAAAAAGCACTTCCACATTCAATACATTATTTAATCCTTCCGACTACTCTTATTCTCATTTCTAAAATAATAATAATGACATTTACTGAGTGATTAGCACATGCCAGGCACTGTTCTGTCTGTTCTACATATCTTAACTCATTTAATTCTCACACAACTCTCTGAGGTACAAATTAATATCCTTTCCATTTTACAGATGAAGAATCTGAGGCACAGGGAAGCTAGGCGATTTGCCCAAGGTCACATGGCTTGTAAATGTTGAACCCTGAGTCATCTTGCCTTGAGGCTTTCATAACCCTCACCGCCCTGCATGGGGCCTAGACCTGATCTCTGAAGCTTCTTGAATCTCAGCATTTTCCAGGCACCAACCATGTACCAGGCATGGAGAGAGAGGGTGAGAGGAGAATAAGGCAGGGCAGTCTCCCTGGAGGAGGCTTAGCCAGCAGGGGACACAGACACGTTCAAAAAGAGGAGTTTGCACATGTGTGCAGGAGCTCTGGCATCAGAAGAAAGATTGCTTAACTCCCCCTGTGGGAATCCAGGGAAGGTTTCCCAGAAGAGGTAACATAGGAGCAGAGCCCTCAGGTTGAGAGGGTGGAGCACCGCCTTCCAGGTAGGGGGAAGAGCATACAAAAAGGTGTGGCTATGGGGAAGAACATGAGTCCTTTGAGAACCTAGAAAAATTTGTTCACACCTAGGGTGATAATGTGAAGGAGCTGCTTCTGGTTCCCAAAACCAGGGCTTCAGACTAGTTCAGTCATAGTCAAGGAAGCAAAACCAGAACAGACCCAAAGTTTTAAAATTTGGGTGGTCCAGAATGATAACTGGAACAGGAAAAATCACAGGCTGAAGCCCTGGAATGGGAGACTCAGAAGAGATGTAGTGAGCCCTGTCAGGAGCCTGATGCATGAGATAGGATTACTGGCAGCACTGTGGAGAGCGACACACATTCAAAGCTGCACAGTTGACTGCCATCTTTGAGCAGGGCACCACTGTTTCCAACTCAGCTCAGAATCCAATGGGCAAGACAACTGATTGCTATGCAACGTGTATGCTGCCCTTGTTTTCTAGGAGGGAGATTAAGTTTCCAGCAGGGCTTTGACTGGTAATTTTCCCCATTCCGGTTATCGTTCCGGTTCACCCAAATTTTAAAAATTCAAAGGAAAGATCAGTCCAAAGGACTAATGGACCACAACTACCACAGCCTCCACCAGACTGAGTCCAGCACAACTAGATGGTGCCCGGCTGCCACCACTGACTGTTCTGACAGGGATCACAACAGAGGGTTCCGGACAAAACTGGAGAAAAATGCAGAACAAAATTCTAACTCACAAAAAAAGACCAGACTTACTGGTCTGACAGAGACTGGAGAAACCCCAAGAGTATGGCCCCTGGACACCTTTTAGCTCAGGAATGAAGTCACTCCTGAGGTTCACCCTCCGGCCAACAATTAGAAAGGCCAATAAAACAAAAGAAGACTAAAGGGGCACACTAGCCCAGGGGCAAGGACGAGAAGGCAGGAAGGGACAGGAAAGGTGGTAATCGGGAACCCAAAGTCGAGAAGGGGAGAGTGTTGACACATCATGATGTTGGCAACCAATGTCACAAAACAATATGTGTATTAATTGTTTAATGAGAAACTAATTTGCTCTGAAAACCTTCATCTAAAGCACAATTTAAAAAAAAAATTTCTTTAACTCAGGTCTGTTCTGGTTTCGCTTCCTTGGCCATGACTGAACGGTTTGAAGCCCTGCGCAAAATCACAGGCCAAAGGGAGCTGCCTCCAGTGATAGGATCACGGGCAGCTGGACCTCTTCGCCTCAACTTGTACCTTAGAGCTCTCTCTCTGGCCCTTTATTGTCTAAGTTTATCCTGAGTAGCACAAGGCATCTTGGCATCTCATTAAAATCCCTGAGAGGAAGGGAAATCATGATGTCATAGCATCAGAGGAAGGTGTGTGGCACATGATGTAATGCCCCAAAGGTCCAGCTTCCCCCAGGCTGACTCACGACCCAGCTCCCAGGCCTCTGCCAGCTGCTGCTGTGGCCCTGTGCAGGCCGTAGGGAGGCAGGGCCTTGTGTGGAGAATGGGTGGGGGTGCCAGGCTAGGACGTGTCCAGAGGAGCAGGTGGCAGCTGCTTCTGTCAGGAAGAACACAGAGAAAGGAAGAAATAAGAGAGTAAGGGGGGAGGGAAGGAAGGGGGAAAAAAGGAAGCAAGTAGGTAAGGAGAGAGGAAAAATGTAAGAAAAAGTTAAGAGGTAGCAAAGACATTGGAGCCAGCCATCCTGGGTTTGGATCCCAGCTCTGCCACTTAGAGCTGTGTGGTTCCAAGCAGCTCCCTCAAATTCTCCGAGCTTCAGTTTCCTGTAAAATGGGATAATAGTAGTTGCTGCTTCTAGGATGGAGGATTAAATAAGTTGTTATTAGTCCCCTAAGGCTGCCGTAACAAAGTACCACAAATCAGGCAGTTTAAAACAACAGAAACTTGTTCTCTCGTGGTTCTGGAGACCAGAAATCCAAAATCGAGGTGTCAGCTGGGCCTTGCTCTTCTGAAGGCTCTAGGGAAGAATCTTCCCTTGCTTCTTCTACCTTCTGGAGATTGCCGGAAGTCCTTGGCATTTCTTGGTTTGTGGTAGCATAACCCCAATCTCTGCCTCCGTGTTCGCGTGGCTATCTTCTCTGTGTGTCTGTCTGCTTCTGTGTCTCTTCCCTTCTTATAAGGATGCTAGTTATTGGATTTAGGGCCCACCCTAATCCCAGATGACCTCACTTTAATTTAACTACTTAAATCCACAAAGACCCTATCTCCAAATAAGGTCACATTCTGAGATTCCGGGAAGGACATGAGTTTTAGGGGGAAACTATTGAACCCAGTACAAAGCTAGTATTTGGAAAGTGCTAGAACAGTGCCTGGCACATGGGAAGGACTGTATAAATGTTTGTTAAATAAAGAGAAAGGAAGGGAGGTGTCATTCAAATGCCTTAGCAGTTGTGTCAGCTGAGTCAGACAACACCGTAGGAGGTGTGACGAACCGATCTGGTGTCATGGAAATCCTTTGAGAGTCATGGCCCTGCCAGATGGGAAGTCTATGAAAAGAACTCTGGAAGAGAATGAAAGTAACTAGATTTGTTGAATGGGGGGCTGGGCCTCAACAAACCTAAAAAGTAGGAAGTATGGAATTGACTGGGGGCAGTGGTGATTCAGTGATAGAATTCTCTCCTTCCATGTGGGAGACCCAGGTTCCATTCCTGGCCAATGTACCTCATGTGCAGCCACCAGGGGTCTGTCAGCGGAGGCTTT